GAACACAATTGGAAGCCATGGTGTGGCATAACAAGACCTTAGGAGTAGCAGACAAAGAAGTTCCTCCTACAGAAGAAATATTGATTTTGAACAGACTGGCATAAAAGAGGATGTAGAATGAACTATATAACCAAGGTTTGTGGACATAAACATTTTTGATTTTTGTGGAGTTCCCATGCCAAAACCTTGGGTAATAGTAAAAAGTTGGTCCCCCTTTGCAGCTATGAAAACAGCCTCCACTCTTCTGGGAAGGCTTTCCACAAGATTTTGGAAAGTGTCTGTAGGAATTTGTGCCCATTAGTGAGGTCAGGAACTGATGTTGGATGAAAAGACATGGCTCACAGTCAGCATTCCAATTCATCCCAAAGGTGTTCAGTAGGGTTGAGGTCAGGTACTGATGTTGGATGAGAAGACATGGCTCACAATCAGCATTCCAATTCATCCCAAAGGTGTTCAGTAGGGTTGAGGTCAGGTACTGATGTTGGATGAGAAGACATGGCTCACAATCATCATTCCAATTCATCCCAAAGGTGTTCAGTAGGGTTGAGGTCAGGTACTGATGTTGGATGAGAAGACATGGCTCACAATCATCATTCCAATTCATCCCAAAGGTGTTCAGTAGGGTTGAGGTCAGGTACTGATGTTGGATGGGAAGACATGGCTCACAATCATCATTCCAATTCATCCCAAAGGTGTTCAGTAGGGTTGAGGTCAGGAACTGATGTTGGATGAAAGACATGGCATACAGTCAGCATTCCAATTCATCCCAAAGGTGTTCAGTAGTAGGGTTGAGGTCAGGTACTGATGTTGGATGAGAAGACATGGCTCACAATCATCATTCCAATTCATCCCAAAGGTGTTCAGTAGGGTTGAGGTCAGGTACTGATGTTGGATGAGAAGACATGGCTCACAATCATCATTCCAATTCATCCCAAAGGTGTTCAGTAGGGTTGAGGTCAGGTACTGATGTTGGATGAGAAGACATGGCTCACAATCATCATTCCAATTCATCCCAAAGGTGTTCAGCAGGGTTGAGGTCAGGTACTGATGTTGATTGAGAAGACCTGATCCCCAAGGTGTCCAGTAGGGTTGAAGTCGGTTACTGATGTAGGATGTCAGGACCCAATCCCAAAGGTGTTTAGTAGGGTTAAGATCAGGTACTGATGATTGATGAGAAAACCTGATACCAAAGATGTTCAGTAGGACTGAGGTCAGGTACTGATGTTGAATGAGAAGACCTGATCCCAAAGGTGTCCAGTAGGGTTGAAGTCGGTTACTGATGTAGGATGACAAGACCCAATCCCAAAGGTGTTTAGTAGGGTTGAGATCAGGTACTGATGATGGATGAGAAAACCTGATCCCAAAGATGTTCAGTAGGATTGAGGTCAGGTACTGATGTTGAATGAGAAGACCTGATTCCAAAGGTGTTCAGCACAGCTGAAGTCGGTTACTGATGTAGGATGAGAAGACCCAATCCCAAAGGTGCTTAGCAGGGTTGAGATCAGGTACTGATGATGGATGAGAAGACCTGATCCCAAAGATGTTCAGTAAGATTGAGGTCAGGTATAGATGTTGGATGAGAAGACCTAATCCCAAAGGTGTTCAGCGAGGTTGACGACAGGTACTGATATTGGATCAGAAGATCTGATCTCAATGGTGTTCATTAGGGTTGAGGTCAGGTACTAATGTTGGATGAGAAGACCCAATCCCAAAGATGTTCAGTGGGGTTGAGGTCAGGGTTCTTTGCAGGCCACTTGAGTTCCTCCACACCAAACTGGTCAAACCATATCTTTACGGTCAGGCCAGGTGTCCATGCGTGATTGGATGATAGTGTTCCAATTCATCCCAAAGGTATTCAGTAGGGTCGAAATGAGGACTCAAACCATATCTTTATGGAGCTCAATTTGTGACAGGGGTACAGTCATGGTGGAACAATACATGGCACTTTTGTAAAGTTCATACAAAGACCAAAATGGTACAATCTGGAGAGACAAATGAGACCTCTTCTTTATACACCAAATTCTGAATTGTAGCTCTAAGAATGTGGTGTACATTCTTACCAGTTCAGACTGCAGTTTACATTATGTGGGATATACTGTACTTGCAGGCTACTGAAAGTCTGGATAGGGGAACATTTTTTTTTTGTGTTGGTCGGTACCCCAGTGCATCTAGACAGTCCAATGTTGCTAAACATTTTGGAACATTGGGGGCAATATGGTTATTTATTTTATCATTTAATGCTATTTTAGCATGTTGATGGTTCCGTATATGGGGGAGATCTATGCTGTTCACTTCAGCGTGCAGCTTTTTGGCTCTATAGTAGGCTATATCGGCTTCACACACCAGAGGTTCTGGATGTGCATCTGGCCAGAGTTCCAAAAAGAATGATCTTCATGGTTCCACCCACTGTCCTGAAATGAAAAATAAACCTCTTATTTTTGGGATGTGTGATGGAATGAGACATTGTATACCTTCTTTTCTAAAGATTTTACTGTACTAAGGCTAAGACCAGAATGCCACTAGGTCTTAACTTTTGGTGGGACATTGATCTCCACATCTAGTCAGAATTAGGGATGAGCCAAGGTTCAGGCCAAACTCAGTATAGCCTGAACCCACAGAATACTGTCACATGACAACAGGTACAAAAAGGCAGGAATGATATCAGTCTCTCAGGATGTCCACATGGCCATACTTGGACAATGTTATTGACCAAATATGGCCATGTGGCCATACTAGGTCAGTGATATCACCAGCATGTGATTGTGTGTGTGTGTGGGGGGGGGGGGGGGGGGGCAGTTTTTTGTATAAGTTTTTGATCTATTTAGATATGTGTGAATTCTTGATTCCATGATTAATCTGGTTTGGTGATTATCACTGGTTGCAGGATGGGTATTTAAGGATAGGAGTAATCCTCCATATTTTGGTACAACCAAGGTCTGGATTGGTCTGTATGCTTTTTATCCTGCACTCGCTATGAAGAAATAAACTTACATCATGGAATGTTCTGGTGTTTTGTGGCTTGGAACAGTAAAAGGGCCTTGTATACACATTGTATAGACTAGTGGGTAGACCTGTGCTTACATTGGTGGTCATTGGGAAAAATGCCCCTTACATTGGTGGTCATTGGGAAGAATACCCCTTACATTGGTGGTCATTGGAAAGAATGTCCCTTACATTGGTGGTCATTGGTAAGAATGCCCCTTACATTGGTGGTCATTGGGAAAAGTGCCCCTTACATTGGTGGTCATTGGGTAGAAAGCCCCTTACATTGGTGGTCATTGGTAAGAATGCCCCTTACATTGGTGGTCATTTGGAAAAGTGGCCCTTACATTGGTGGTCATTGGGTAGAATGCCCCTTACATTGGTGGTCATTGGTAAGAATGCCCCTTACATTGGTGGTCATTGGGAAAAGTGCCCCTTACATTGGTGGTCATTGGGTAGAACGCCCCTTACATTGGTGGTCATTGGTAAGAATGCCCCTTACATTGGTGGTCATTTGGAAAAGTGGCCCCTTACATTGGTGGTCATTGGGTAGAATGCCCCTTACATTGGTGGTCATTGGAAAGAATGCTCCTTACATTGGTGGTCATTGGGAAGAATACCCCTTACATTGGTGGTCATTGGGGAAGAATGCCCCTTACATTGGTGGTCATTGGGAAAATGCCCCTTACATTGGTGGTCATTGGGAAAAATGCCCCTTACATTGGTGGTCATTGGGAAAAATGCCCTTTGCATTGGTGGTCATTGGAAAGAATGCTCCTTACATTGGTGGTCAGTGGGAAGAACTGAGGGAAGACACCGTCAGATGGGAGGTCAATCAGCCATAGCTCAAGAAACTCCTAGCCACCTCTGGAGGATCCCTAGAGTTCTACTGGATCTTTGGTTGAGAAGTGATGGTCAGAATGCCACTGGTTCTCCCACGTGGTGATGAACCTGGAACTATACAGGCACCATAAGATGGTAGGTCAATCAGCCATAGCTCAATGAACACCTAGCCGCCTCTAAAGAAACTCTGTGGCTTTACATTTCTGGACCTCTGACCATCACATATAACTATATGGCCAAAAGCATGTGGAACCTGCCCCCTCCTCCCTCCAAATGATTGAGTTTTGGTGTTCCCAGTGAATGGTACTGCTAATGTCACAGCATACAAAACGTTTTGAGACAATGGTGCCCTTCCAACCTTGTGGTAACAGTTTTGTGTGGGCCCGATGCTGTAAGAAGGTCATTCTTCTCAAAGACCACCAATGTAAGTGGCATTTACCCACTGACTGCCAATGTAAGGAACATTCTTCCCACTGATCACCAATGTAAGAGGCATTTTCCCACTGACCACCAATGTAAGGAGCATTCTTCCCACTGACCCCCAATGTAAGGGCATTTTTCCCACTGACCACCAATGTAAGGAACATTCTTCCCACTGACCACCAATGTAAGGAACATTCTTCCCACTGATCACCAATGTAAGGGACATTCTTCCCACTGACCACCAATGTAAGGGACATTCTTCCCACTGACCTCCAATGTAAGGGAACATTCTTCCCACTGACCACCAATGTAAGGAACATTCTTCCCACTGACCACAATGTAAGGAGCATTCTTCCCACTGACCACCAATGTAAGGGACATTCTTCCCAATGACCACCAATGTAAGGGACATTCTTCCCACTGACCACCAATGTAAGGAACATTCTTCCCACTGACCTCCAATGTAAGGGACATTCTTCCCACTGACCACCAATGTAAGGAACATTCTTCCCACTGACCACCAATGTAAGGAACATTCTTCCCACTGATCACAATGTAAGGAACATTCTTCCCACTGACCACCAATGTAAGGGACATTCTTCCCACTGACCACCAATGTAAGGAACATTCTTCCCACTGACCACCAATGTAAGGGCATTCTTCCCACTGACCACCAATGTAAGGGCATTCTTCCCACTGACCACCAATGTAAGGAACATTCTTCCCACTGAACACCAATGTAAGGGACATTCTTCCCACTGATCACCAATGTAAGGGACATTCTTCCCACTGATCACCAATGTAAGGAACATTCTTCCCACTGACCACCAATGTAAGGGACATTCTTCCCACTGACCACCAATGTAAGGGACATTCTTCCCACTGATCACCAATGTAAGGGACATTCTTCCCACTGACCACCAATGTAAGGGACATTCTTCCCACTGACCACCAATGTAAGGGACATTCTTCCCACTGACCACCAATGTAAGGGCAGTTCTACCCACTAGTCAACACGAGTCTCATTGGGTTAGATAAGTAGAATGAACAAATAACCTTTGGCTTGATTTCTGAGGCATTATTTAGGCAAAAGAGGAACTATGTGTTTTTGTGTTGCTAGGTGTCAGGAAGGCGGTTTTAGGAAGGAAACAGAAAGATTGTGAAAGCCGTTTCTCCACACTTAAATACAACAACATATGAGCGTAGAGTGACCATCTGTTTGCACACCACCTCCCCTTTACTTCACTGTACTCTTCATATGCTTGGTAGTAGGGATGAGCCGCGTTATTTCAGCATAATTAAATCTTCAGTGAAATTACGGATTTCGTCATCGGCAATATTGTGCCAAACCTCAATTTTGTTTCTTAAGCTGTTTGGGTGGAATTTGCTGAAAAAAACAACTATCTATTCTTTGGAGTGCGGATGTGTATTTTGGGTTCCTTAGTTTATTTAATTTAGTGTTTTTTTGTATTTGTGATCTTTACCTTTTATTTAGTTTTTTTATTTGTGAATGGTGGCTGAAAATTACAGATCTCATCATCGGTGATATTACTCCAAACCTCAATTTCATTTATTGAGCTGTTTAAGTGAAATTTACCAAAAAAAATGATCTTATTATGTTATTGTTTTTATTTAGAGCAGTTATTCTCAGAGTTCCATAGAACATTAGGGATCCTCCAGAGTTGGTTAGGGTTTTCTTTAAGCCATTGCTGATTGACCTCCAATCTCATGGTTGGCAGAGACAGTGGTATGACAGCAAGAGCTGCATTCTGACTACCTTTATACAGGGGGATGCTCTTTCCACTGACCACCAATGGGGCATTCAGTGGCCACCAATGTAAGAGACATTCTTCCCACTGATACCAATGTAAGGAACATTCTTCCCACTGACCACCAATGTAAGGAGCATTCTTCCCACTGACCACCAATGTAAGGGGCATTCTTCCCACTGACCTCCAATGTAAGGGACATTCTTCCCACTGACCACCAATGTAAGGGACATTCTTCCCACTGACCACCAATGTAAGGAGCATTCTTCCCCACTGACCACCAATGTAAGGGGCATTCTTCCCACTGACCTCCAATGTAAGGGGCATTCTTCCCAATGACCACCAATGTAAGGGACATTCTTCCCACTGACCACCAATGTAAGGAGCATTCTTCCCACTGACCTCCAATGTAAGGGGCATTCTTCCCACTGACCACCAATGTAAGGGACATTCTTCCCACTGACCACAAATGTAAGGAGCATTCTTCCCACTGACCACCAATGTAAGGACAGTTGGATATAATAAAACACTGATACCCAGATTAGTTCAAATGACACATTGTATAGACTAGTGGGTAGACCTGTGTTTACATTGGTGGTCATTGGGAAAAATGCCCCTTACATTGCTGGTCATTGGGAAGAATGCCCCTTACATTGGTGGTCAGTGGGAAGAACTGAGAAGACACCATCAAATGGGAGGTCAATCAGCCATAGCTCACGAAACTGCATTCTGACCACCTTTGTACAGGGGGCGCTCTTTCAACTGACCACCAATGCAAGGGCATTCACTGACCTCCAATGTAAGGAGCATTCTTCAAACTGACTACCAATGTACGGAGCATTCTGCCCACTGACCTCCAATGTAAGGAGTATTCTTCCTAATGACCACCAATGTAAGGAACATTCTTCCCACTGACCACCAATGTAAGGGGCATTCTTCCCACTGACCTCCAATGTAAGGGACATTCTTCCCACTGACCTCCAATGTAAGGAACATTTTTCCCACTGACCACCAATGTAAGGAACATTCTTCCCACTGACCACCAATGTGAGGAACATTACTCCCACTGACCACCAATGTGAAGAGCATTCTTCCCACTGACCTCCAATGTAAGGAGCATTCTTCCCACTGATCACCAATGTAAGGTACATTCTTCACACTGACCACCAATGTAAGGGACATTCTTCCCACTGACCACCAATGTAAGGGACATTCTTCCCACTGACCACCAATGTAAGGGACATTCTTCCCACTGACCTCCAATGTAAGGAGAATTCTTCCCACTGACCCCCAATGTAAGGGACATTCTTCCCACTGACCCCCAATGTAAGGGACATTCTTCCCACTGACCACCAATGTAAGGAGAATTCTTCCCACTGACCTCCAATGTAAGGGACATTCTTCCTACTGACCACCAATGTAAGGGACATTCTTCCCACTGATCACCAATGTAAGGGACATTCTTCCCACTGATCACCAATGTAAGGGGCATTCTTCCCACTGATCACCAATGTAAGGGACATTCTTCCCACTGATCACCAATGTAAGGGACATTCTTCCCACTGACCACCAATGTGAGGAACATTACTCCCACTGACCACCAATGTGAAGAGCATTCTTCCCACTGACCTCCAATGTAAGGAGCATTCTTCCCACTGATCACCAATGTAAGGTACATTCTTCACACTGACCACCAATGTAAGGGACATTCTTCCCACTGACCACCAATGTAAGGGACATTCTTCCCACTGACCACCAATGTAAGGGACATTCTTCCACTGACCTCCAATGTAAGGAGAATTCTTCCCACTGACCCCCAATGTAAGGGACATTCTTCCCACTGACCCCCAATGTAAGGGACATTCTTCCCACTGACCACCAATGTAAGGAGAATTCTTCCCACTGACCTCCAATGTAAGGGACATTCTTCCTACTGACCACCAATGTAAGGGACATTCTTCCCACTGATCACCAATGTAAGGGACATTCTTCCCACTGATCACCAATGTAAGGGACATTCTTCCCACTGATCACCAATGTAAGGGGCATTCTTCCCACTGATCACCAATGTAAGGGACATTCTTCCCACTGATCACCAATGTAAGGGACATTCTTCCCACTGACCACCAATGTGAGGAACATTACTCCCACTGACCACCAATGTGAAGAGCATTCTTCCCACTGACCTCCAATGTAAGGAGCATTCTTCCCACTGATCACCAATGTAAGGTACATTCTTCACACTGACCACCAATGTAAGGGACATTCTTCCCACTGACCACCAATGTAAGGGACATTCTTCCCACTGACCACCAATGTAAGGGACATTCTTCCCACTGACCTCCAATGTAAGGAGAATTCTTCCCACTGACCCCCAATGTAAGGGACATTCTTCCCACTGACCCCCAATGTAAGGGACATTCTTCCCACTGACCACCAATGTAAGGAGAATTCTTCCCACTGACCTCCAATGTAAGGGACATTCTTCCTACTGACCACCAATGTAAGGGACATTCTTCCCACTGATCACCAATGTAAGGGACATTCTTCCCCACTGATCACCAATGTAAGGGGCATTCTTCCCACTGAGAGAGCAGAGCAGAGTGACAGAGAGATGAGCTCATCACTGTGCTTCTTCTCCTTCATTGTCCAATCACAGGCTGGGGGGTGGGTTCAGGGCATCAGACTGAAGACATCTAGTGGCAGAAATAAGTACTGTAGAGAAAATCTCTGGATTGAAGTTGAGTAAGGCACGTTTTACACTTGAATTTCCATGACCGTTTTGAACAAATTATGATACAGGCATTTCTATTATGAAAATTTACATCAAAAGTAATTTTTTTTAATAATATGCTTTTTTTCTTGTTACGAACAATAGTTAACCTAACCTTTTGTATGTCCTTTTTTTTTTCCTGTAGCTGCACCTACGGTGGACCACGCCAAGCTGAGCAACTGGCAGCAGCAACCTGTGAACGTGTTCCTGTCCTCTAAGCGGCCTCCTTGTGTAGAGGAGCTGCATCAGGAGGCTGAACTCAACCTACAGAGCTTACTGCAAGGTAGGGAAGTGCACCTGGACAATACATAGAACATGTAAAAGGCTAATATACTGTATCTTTTCCAAGAAAGTATAACTGAAAGCTAAAACTCCAGGAAAAAAGTGAAATTCCCAGATGAAATACATACATGGAAGCCGGTTTACCTACCAAAGGATTTTTTTATTTCTGTCCATCCAGTCCTGAGATTTACACAGCTCCCTAACACAGCAGCGCCTATTAGATTACACCTTTTTCTCTGTTACAGTTAAGAAATACAATAGTGTCATCTCTCCACCTCCAACCTGCTGACTGGACATTGAACGAGCAGCATCAGACTGATTGTGTTATCCTCATGCTCACTTTGCTCTTGCTTCCTATCAGCATGCTCCTTGTCAACACATTTGCATGCAGCACAACTGTTTGGCTTCAAGTTCTGCCTATTCCTTTCCCAGTCTTAGCGATATTTTACAGGGACTTCAAAAGACAGATAAACAAAATGAAAACATGTCCTAATGCAACAGTGGGAGCATCAATGCCCCATCTTTGGTGTCATTGGGAGGAACAGTGCCCCATCTTTGGTGTCATTGGGGATAATAGTGCCCCTTTATTGGTGTCAAAAGAAGCAACTGTGCCCCATCGTTGGTGTTTCTAGGAGGAATTGTGCCTTATCGTTAATGTCAGTGGGCAGAATAGTATCCCATTGTTGGTGTCAGTGACAGGAAGTATGCCCTGTTGTTGGTGTCTGTGGATGGAATAGAACCCCAAGGGCTGGATAAAAGCAAGCAAAGGGCCGCATCTGGCCCCCGAGACACAGTTTGGAGACCGCTGCTCTAAACCATGGAGTCCAGTGCTGAGATCTCTGTTGTTGAGTTCTCCAGTCTACACACTGGCAGAAGGAGTCTTTAGAAGGCCTTGTGGACAATCAATGTATAATATAGATGCAGTATGTGTCAGGGTTACAAAAGTCTACAAAATGTTAGCAGTTTCTATCAAGGTTTTTGCTGTTGATGAATCACCTATTTTGCGGTTGATTTTGCTATATAGAATGATTGTTTTGGAGGTTACATCCTAGTGGAGTGGAGGCTGGCAGGCAAATTTAGTTAGTTCCATTGTAATCAGAGGAGCAGGAGTTGATTAATTACGGTTGCCCAGTGTTTCACAGGCTGTTGCACTGATTACTTCTAGAGGATTCTAGAATTACAGTGGGAGGACAGACAGGGGGCATGCAGCCTGAATATTTATGGAACTCCAGCTAATCTCTGTGGAGGTGTGCCCAGTAGGTGGCTGTAGAGCCTTTAAATAGTCTGAGGACTGAGCAGCAGAAGACCGTGTTCCTGGGTCCAGTCCTGCTGGAGGAGGGCTCTGCCCTTTTTCAGGATTTCAGAAGAAGCCTTCAGGAAGACATAAGTCCTAGTTAGGCTTAGCTAGGGGGGCTATTCGCAAGCTCAAGTCTGGGGATCAAGATGGGTCCGGAGGAGCTCATTGGAGAACCAGGAAGAAGTTGGTGGGAAAGAGTTAGCTGTCCTATGGTGGTGTGAGTCTACATTCTCCTCACTAGGAAGATCCTGGTGGGTATCGGCAGGAGGCAACTGCTGATCCTGTGGCTATGTGAGTAGATGACCCCAATGTTGAAGAGTAGTGATCGTGTGTAGCTTTTTTAACCTCCGATAGGAAAACTAGTCACCGTCAGCGTAGACATTCAGTGGTTAGTGGTAGATGGTCTATGGCAGCTCAGGCATTGGAAGGTCCATAGGGTGGGTTAATGGAAGGTCCATAGGGTGGGTCAATGAAAGGTCCATAGGGTGGGTCAATGAAAGGTCCATAGGGTGGGTCAATGAAAGGTCCATAGGGTGGGTCAATGAAAGGTCCATAGGGTGGGTCAATGAAGGTCCATAGGGTGGGTCTATGGAAGGTCCATAGGGTGGGTCAATGAAAGGTTCATAAGGTAGGTCAATGGAAGGTCCATAAGGTCCATAAGGTGGAAGGTTTATAAGGTGGGTCTTCCGATGTGGAAAAGTTGAAGAGGTAGCCGAACAACCCCCTGAGTAAAAGAATTTGAAACTTCAGCTGGTTGGGAAACAGTCACATGTTTATTGGCAAACAAAAGTAAATAAAAGATAGCCAACTTGTTTTGGGGGCTTTCAAAGGACACCCTCTTCAAGGATACTGATAGAAAGATACTGATGTTCCTGTAAAAGTTATCATGGCTGTTTTGCTACAATATCCTAATGTAAAAAGGGAGTGTGAATAGAATTAGGTGCAATCGAGTGCAGGGTCTCCAGGCTCTCTAACATATGGGGTCTCCCTTTGGGTCCCCAGAGTGGTGCAAAGATGATACAAAGAATCAGAGTGAAGCAAGTCCTATAAGGTCCAGTATAAATCAGGGGATCACAACTCCCCTTTATCTGGGGTTTGAAAGTTGGCAGTGAAAATACTGGACAGTTAAAAATCAAGCATTCATATAAATGGAAGTTTGGCTACATTGGCTCCTGCACTGCTTTTTATATTAATTCTTGATTTTTTTAACTGTCCAGTATTTGACTTATTAAATACCAACACTCAAGAACTGATGAAAGGAGCGTTGTCATCCCCAAAATGTATTGGTTGTACCTTTTTACTTTGGTGGTCAGTGGGAAGAATGTTCCTTACATTGATGGTCAATAGGAGGAATGTTCCTTCAATGGTGGTCAGTGAGAACAATTTTCATTACATTTGCTGTCCGTGGGAAGAATGCTTCTTACGTTGGTGGTCAGTGGGAAGAATGTGTCTATGTTGGTGGTCAGTGGGAAGAGTGCTCCTTATATTGGGAAGAGTGCTCCTTATATTGATGGTTAGTGGGAAGAATGCCCCTTACGTTGATGGTCAGTGGGCATAATGCCCCTATGTTGGTGGTCAGTGGGAAGAATGTCTCTATGTTGGTGGTCAGTGGGAAGAGTGCTCCTTATATTGGGAAGAGTGCTCCTTATATTGATGGTTAGTGGGAAGAATGCCCCTTACGTTGATGGTCAGTGGGCATAATGCCCCTATGTTTGTGGTCAGTGGGAAGAATGCCCCTTACATTGATGGTCAGTGGGCATAATGCCCCTATGTTGGTGGTCAGTGAGAAGAATGCCCCTTACATTGATGGTCAGTGGGCATAATGCCTCTATGTTGGTGGTCAGTGGGAAGAATGCCTCTTATGCTGGTGGTCAGTGGGAAGAATGCCCCTTATGTTGGTGGTCAGTGGGAAGAATGCCCCTTATATTGCTGGTCAGAATGTCCCTTACATTGGTGGTCAGTGGAAAGAGTGCCTTTTACTTTGGTGATCAGTGGGAAGAATGTCCCTTACGTTGGTGGTCAGTTGGAAGAGTGCCCTTTACTTTGGTGATCAGTTGGAAGAATGCCCCTTACATTGGTGGTCAGTTGGAAGAGTGCTCCTTATGTTGGTGGCCAGTAGAAAGAATGCCCCTTACGTTGTTGGTCAGTGGGGAAAAATGTCCCTCACATGAAGGGTCAGTGGGAAGAATATGTCTCACATTGGAGGTCAGAATGCTGTTACAGTCATGCCTCTGGCTCTGCCAAGTGGTGATGGACCTGGATCTATGCAGGCACCATCAGATGGGAGGTCAATCAGCCACAGCTCAAGGAACCCCTAAAAATCTCAGGAGGAATACTGTTTGAGAATGGCTGGTCTCATCACAACTAAAGCATTTGCAGTGTCTGTTAAGCATATCTCAATCAAGTGCACAAAGCATAGTACTGACGCACTGCCTCCACCTGCTGTCTGAGACCATGTAGGAGGCCTTCTGGCAAGGTAGGGAGGAATCCTACACTGGGCCCCCTTACTCTCCAACTCCAGATGGATGTGGGAGCCGCTATGTAGTCGTAACACTGATTCAGAGGAGTTGGAAGAATGACAGGTGATTGCTTTGTAATGGGTTGCTGTGCTTTGTGCATTACTGTTCCACTTTAAAGGAGCCATGGGGCAGAATGGCGCACACAATCCTAACATTTGATTTTATTTGACAATTAGTAGGAGTACAATGCTCAGGCTTCATAGGGAGCATACATGGATCCTTGGTAGAAGCAGAGAATTACTTTTATATTGCTTTCCTACAAAAACAATGCAGCACAGCCGAAGTCTGCATGGGGAGTGAAAGACACGAACTGATAGTCGGCATTTAACCTGATTCGACTTCGGATCGCATGCTATGGGCTACGTCAACATGACTCATATCTTTCCATAGACTTTAAAGTTTATAGCCTTCCTCTTCTATCTGGTGGGCCAAGGATAACAGCAACTGACAGGTGGAAAATTATTCTAAGGCCTTGTTCACAGGGGGCGCACTACAACGGAAGCCTGTGCCAGAGGGATCCACGGGTGTTCTGTGCATCCCTGTGTAGGCAGCCCCATTGAAGTCAATAGGAACAGACCAGCTGCATGGACACAAACGTTGCTCCCAATTTAACATCCGTGCAGGTGCGGGTGAACACGCACTGCACACTGCATTCGCATACCTCCCAACTTTTGAACTTCAGAATTTAGAAAAAAACCCGTTCATAGGGTAACAGCCAGCATTTATACAGTGCCAACCGGGAAAAAAGGGGCAAGGGTAGGACCAATTGGATCTACTGCATGTGCACCCGCTGTGATGTATAATTCAGGGTTATTATACATAGCTGCGGGTGCACATGCAGTAGTTCCAATTGGTCCTGCCCCTTGTCACCGTCTTCCCTGGCCAGCAATGTATAAATGCCGGCTGTTTGTCTATGTAGTGCTTGCTTGACAAAGGGGGCGGGGCCACTGAAATGCATATTGGCCCCGCCCATCTCTGACATCACAGGTTGGAGTTGACAGCTGCATGCTCTCTCATTGTGGCTGCAAGCCCCCGCTGGCTTGGCTTGGATGGAGCCAGGCTGAGACTGCTTTCACAGTCCAAGTTTTGAATTGCCGCTCAGGTCCCTGTTTCCAAATCCAGTGGACTCGCACTATGGGTGCTGGCTCGAGGTGAAAGCTCCTCCCAGTTCTACATATGCAAGTG